ATGAAGGAAAAAAAAGGGAATAATTACAAAATTAACTATTGACAAAGATGTGTAGATCACAAATTAGAAAGAATACTCCTCTATAAACAACTACTTTCAAATAAACTTCTAATCATACAATTATATAGATACTGAATTGTACAGAAAACACTTCGAACGTATTCAGTTAGTATTCCAAACATTCGTTATGAAATTGAGTCAGATATCATCCACAGGAATCCTACACAATATAATATATACAAAAATTAAATTTCACTTATAAGGTATCACTCTTAATGGCGGAATAAGACACTGGCCTTCTTGCCACTTCGGCACCAATTACATCACAAGAAGAATCACTTAAATAAACAATTAAAAAAACCTTTTCTTAAACTTTCTAGGCAAAAATACGAATCGAATGACACCTTGGTCGTAATTTTTGGACAGGGCTGAAAAATGTCACCAAAAAGAGCTAAATCGAGTACATGTGAACCAGACTATAATATCTTGACTTGGTTGTTTACTATGAATCAAAATAAAACAAAGCTTAAAATTTTCAAAATAATCCGGCATTCAAAAAAAAAGATGAATAAAGTGTGATTGAACAGGACGAAATGTTTCGAATTATGACTAGAACACATAGATAATGAGACCTGTCATTTTTGGTTTATTGTGAGACTTGATAATGACCAGGGAGTAACAAACGAATTCAAAACACAATGTATCTATCTTAAAATGATAATTCCATGGGGACAGTTTGGATTAAATGACGTACCTGTTATGTGAATTCATTAACACATTTTTCAATGTCATTCCATATTTTTTATGGAAGTTAGTACCTAATTATTTGTTTGTTTTTACGTGCGAGGTTAATAACCACATAATGTAGGATTACCGAATCATCGATTACTTTTGGCAATGATTGTATAAGTTTGTACTTAGAGTGTTTGTTTTTCTTGAATTATCGATAAATATTTCCCAACGCTTTGAAAGATATTTTCTGTGGGAGAAATAACCCATCCATTGAAAGAATTTGAGACATTGTGATTTACAGTGATATTAGGAAAAATTGAAAAGTATTATTCCCTTCTTCAGGCATCCACCTACTTCTCAGTGTTTTGGTATATTATCATTTCCTCTTGTATTTTACACAGCTAAGTAATAGTTTTTATGAACTAGGTACCGTATCCTAATATACAGGGAGTTAATTAAGTATGTACCATAAATTTAACAGACAATTCTTTAGGTAATTCTAAGACGAAATGTTCATATACACATGGGTCCGCAAATCCTTCGTTCTCAAGATACAGAGTGTTGAAATAAAAATAACAAAAAAAAGTTTTTCGTAAATATCTTGAATATACTTCATCTGATTTTGTTGTTATTTGGCAATGGTATTTATAACATTGAAGAGCTAATTTAGCCCGAACGTGATTCAATTTATTAAGTCCAGTGGCGTCTCGAGCGGGATTTGAACGAATATTTTTTACTTAAAATGTACGCCACTGACTTTTGTGCCATTTCTATTATTCCCTCGGATTGTGCAATTAGAAATACAATTTTTTTGTCTGCTAAATTTTTTTCGTACCTAACTTGCTTAGTTTTTAAGAAAAAAGGTCGACCTAATTGCATATTCCTGGACCTCACAAGGAATAATATGGGAAATTAAATGTTTCTTTTGGATATTATTATTATTTACAATCTTTCATTACTAATTTTGTAACGATAACAACAAATATCAAATAACATTAACATCTAGACTAACGAATTGCAATAAATTAAGTGTTGGAAATGGCCTCTTTCGGCTTGAATACAATCGTTTAGCCGTCGCATCATTGAATTTCGCACTTTTCTGAAAATACCTGGCGTATTTTTTATTATGTCACATGAATTAATTATTTTATTCCGTAAATCCTCGTCACTATGAATAGCAGTTTTCTATACCAACGCTTTAAGGTTTCCCCAGAAAAAATAATCTATGGGATTCATTTCGGGCGAGCGAGGTGGCCATGGGTGTGGGTCTGCTTTCCCAGCTCTCCAGCGATTATGGTGATTTTCATCCAAAAATTGCCGTGCCACTAAAATAAAGTGTGGTGGAGCACCATCGTGCATGTACCACATACGGAATCTTTCCATGACTGGAATTTCTTCTGAAAGTCCAGGCAAAACAAATTCTAAAAACCTTCGGTATTCTTCTCCATTAAGTCTAGGTGGAAGGAAGTGAGGCCCAATGGGATGGTCACCGACAATTCCAACCCATATATTAAAAGAAAACTGTTCTTGAAAATCATTTTCTATCAAGGCGTGTGGATTGTTTTCGGCCCAAATGTGATTGTTGTGAAAGTTAATAATTGAATTGCGAGAAAAACAAGCTTCATCTGTGAACAATATTCGACTTAGGAAACCTGGATTTCTTCTTATTTCACCGCGTAACCAATTAGAAAAAACTAGTCTTACAGGCAAATCTCTGGGCAATAGAGCTTGCACACATTGCATGTGATAGGGATATAGTTGCTGGGCTCTTAAAATCTGCCACACTGTGACATGGTTAATATTCAGTTTTTCAGCTAGTTTCTGAGTACTGTTATGAGGATTTACTTCAATCTCATTCAAAACAGCTTCTTCAATTTGAACTGTTCGTACCGTTGCAGGCCTCCCATTGACAACCGTCGATCTTTTAAAGCTGTCTGTTTCAGAAAGTCGTGCATGTAGACGTACAAAAGTTCTTCTATTAGGCACTACACGCTGAGGCAATCTTTTATGGTAAATGCGTCTTGCAGAATTCGAGTTTCCGTGAGCCATTCCATAACAGAAATGCATATCTGCCATTCCAGTGTTAGTAAATTGAACAATGTTTTACAAAAATGGTTCGAAAAATAACCAGTAAACACACTTTTTATAACAATTATAAATTGAAAGCTTATAAAGTTGACAACTGTCCAGTTGTTTATTAAATGCTGCAATCGTTTTCCAAGGCAACCCTTGATTATTATTTATGGTATTTTCAGAAGAGACGGTTTTGAACTCGAAGGAGGCAATTTCCAACACTTAATTTAGTGCAATTGGTTAGTCTAGATGTTAATGTTATTTAATATTTGTTGTTATTGTCACATAATTAGTAATGAAAAATTGTGAAAATAATAATTTCCAAAAGAAACATTTAATTCCCCATATTATTCCTTGTGAGGTCCAGGGATATGCAATTAGGTCGACTTTTTTTTCTTAAAAACTAAGCAAGATACGAAAAAAATTCAAGAGACAAAAAAGTTGTTATTTCTAATTGCTTAATCCAAAGAAATAATAAAAATTGCACAAAAGTCAGTGGCGTACAGCCACAGCTGGGAAGATTGTGGACTCGGTATTTTGGGATGTGCGTATCTTGAGAAAAAAAATACCATCAACAGTGAATATTGTTTAGCATTATTGGAGCATTTGAAGGCTGACATTGTGAAAAAACGACTCCATTTGAAGAAAAAGAAAGTGCTGCTTCGTCAGTACGTTGCACAGTTTCACAAATCAATGGAAACGATTGCAAAATTGCACAAAATGGGCTTCAAATTGCTCCCGCATATACCATATTCGCCAGATTTGGCTTCCAGCGACTACTGGCTGTTCACAGACCTCAAAAAAAAATGCTCACTGGTAAAAATTTTCTCTGGAATGAAGAGCTTGTTTCTAAAACTGAAGCCTGTTTTGAGGCAAAAGATAAATTGTTCTACAAAAGTGGTATTGAAGTATTAGAGGGCCGCTGGAATTATTGTGTGGATCTTGATGGAAATTACGTTTATGAATAAAGCCAATATTGAACAAAAAAAGCGTTTTCGTTCTCAGGCCCGGGAGTTTTCAGCCCAGGTGTTATAAGCGGAAATACCTCAAACTGCCTCTTATGCAAAAAAACAGTGAATTGGTTATCAGTTGTTTGAGAAATATGAAAGTTCAAATACTCCCTTGATATATTCATGATCCAATTCTATGATTTCAAGGCTTTTTTCCAAAGCCCCTATTTACGTTTTTCGAATTAAGATGTTCCCTATAAGAATTTCGCAATCGCTTGGAGAAGCTATAGTATAGTGAAACACGTATAGTGTAAATTGTTCTTGCTGCTCAACAATGGTTATCCATGAATGCTCATTCTTGCATTCGGATAACCATTTACTGATATTGCCTTGCCTGGTTTTTCATGGAGTCAAAGGTAACACGAGTAAAACAATTGAAATTGTTTCATCAAATTATATATTTTACTGGAATGATCAATTGAGAAAAATTCCTTATCATTATACTTACTCTAGTCAATTATAAATAAATAATGGTATGAGCCAATACGTCTAGAAATTCTCACAAATCTCCTATGTCCCGTAGATCTCATTCTATGCATGTACCCAAGTGAATAGTCCGCTTGGTTCCAATAAATAGAAATTGAGAGTATTGAAATACCCCACTCAAGCCACATTTTTCCTAGTTTGTGTCTCTGTTATCACACCAGCCGAAGGCTTACCCACATTTTCCTTGGACTGAGCATGCTTTAGGTTCCACATATCCCCCTCTTCAATTCAATGCATACAACGGAAAATCAGGAAACAGTGATAGTTTAGTCCAGTGGAATTTTTGAATTCATACAGAATCGAAGTTTTTGAAGAAGAAAATGCTCAGTTAAAGCTTTCATAGATAGGTTAATGGAGTTATCACAATCACATACATATATATCTGAAAGACTCTTTTCAGAGGTTGAAGTACTACGGCGAATCTCCATTTCTACGATAAGTGTATGTATAATTTTCATTTCGATCCCCTTTGAAGGAGAAACAACTAATATACAAACTATGGAAAAAGCTTCCAGTCAAACTTATGAAAATTGTTTTTCCTACAACCAACTTCCTGTTCTCCTCATAATTTTCAATTTCGAATAGAGAAGGATGTGAGAAAAGTAATGAATCCTAAAATGGCGTCCGAATTTCAACTGATATCAAAAATAACTGGTCGAAGATAAAATGTTTAGTTCACTGCATAATAAAATGTTACAGGAAAACAAGTTGGGAGATATCTGCTTCTCTTTGAGGTATGTTCCCACCGCAGGAAAGTTAACCGTCGTCATTTTGGAAGCTAAGAACTTGAAGAAGATGGATGTTGGCGGCTTATCAGGTACGACAATCAATATCTTTTGTGTCCAGTAAGGACACAATCATTGAATTTTACTGGTGTAGTATTTTATGTGTTGAATTTTATACTGTACTGATGCATCGTCCTGAACTCGAAGGGTTTATGCATCATGCTGAACTTAGAAAGGGGTTTTTGTGAAGTGTGTCTGCTATACGACATTTTTCTATCATTTCAACCATTTGGGAAGAATACTTCACACTGAATTTGTAGATATGTATATTTTGTTTATTTTTTAGTGAGTTGATGAAGATCCAAATCGAAAAAATCTGATAATGAGTATTTCCTCTATAATTTTAGAAAATAGAGATTGGAAACTCGCAATTTGTTATGCCTCAGTGAAACAAAAACTATAACTGACCCTCATTACTCTCCTTCCTTCTGTACATTTCCTGAGTCTCTAGAAAACACTGTGCTTTAATGATTTCATTGCGTCTTTCCTCAAATTTTTCATGACGCCCGTTCTTGGATGATTGTCATATTTTTCTGGCCATAAGTTTGATTGTCCTTGAATTACACATCTTTTGTAATTGAGAAACAAACATTGAGTGAATTTTTGGTTCTTCTCTCAGATGTTCTATTCAATATATAAGGTCCTTCCGTATGTGATTTCAGCTATATTTTTCTAATAATGATAAATACAATAATAATAATTTCATTGTGTTCCTCATCATTCCATTTACTGATCTGGATCTCTTCTCGTACCGATGATGTCGGTACTCCTCACACCTGGTTATAGCTCATATATAGAGTTGGGTCTAGAACATATATCAACACGCCCAAGGAAGCCATTGTATGGCGAAACACGTGTTGCGTTTTTGTAAAACTGTCTAGTGAAAATCTCACAATGAAGTGTTTTTAGAATGTGTGAAGTGTGTTTAGAATACGTTATATCAAATCCTTCTTCCTGAATATATAGTGTGTGCCTGAATGTCCCGGCACACACTATAGATTCATTTTGTCAATTTCTCTTGTTCCTTCAGTTTTTTTCTAGTCTTGTGAGCCATATGTCATTAACGGTTCAACCACTTTTGTATATCTAGTACATCTTTGTGTTTTCTGCTCACGTGTCTTTCAACACATATGTAGCATCACTGTCCTTTGCAATAGATTGATGGATGTAGCTGTTGTTACTACGTGGTGGGAAATCATCATGAAAAATGGAAATTTGAACTTATTTTTATACCACTTTTATTTGTAATGTTACTTCAGTTTCGTCCTACAAGGAAATTCTCAAACGAATACAATAAACTGGGTTTATTATATTCGTTTGAAAATGTCCTTGTAGGACTAAATTGCAATAATGTTAGTTACAAATAAAAGTGGAATAAAAACGTAGGTAGTTTTGATTCTTATTTTTCAAACTGCCCTTTGCCTTCTTGAATCCCATATAAATCTAGTATCACATTGAGAGATTCAATTCCCCGCAGCAATTTTGTCTCATCGTCTTCAGAGGCTCTAAACACTCTGTCTTGGGTTTATTAGTAGATGCAAACATTCTGGTATTTTGAATCAGTTAAGGCTCAAAAAACGTAGTAACTCGTTACCACAACGTTTTATAACAGTGAATGTAGGCTTTCATGACAGTATAAAAAATATTTGCTCTTTTCTGATCTGCAGGTTTTTGGGTACGTTTCGTCTGATATTATTGGCTGATATTATCAAAGGCGGAGCGGCAATGACCTTAGTGATCGACCTCGCTATGAATTGCCACATTTCGTTTCCCTCGATGATATTGTATTCCAATCTACCTCTAAGAAAACAGTAAATTGACCTGACCCTATCTAATGCGCCATAATTTTCGAGAAAGCGACTTGAACCACTTCCTACTATCTGCTTTGTCTGCATACTGGCCTAGAAGCAGTAGCTTGATAGGACTTTGTCTCCGATATGCCTTGGTTTTCAATAGATGTTATGTCTTTTGGGGAGTTTTGGGGAAACATATCCAGAGCTTCAAAAAATTATCTTTGTTTCGGAATTATTTCAGACTAGGAATCTGGAACAATATTTTCATAATTCTAATGTGAAACAATTTGTTCAAATTGTGTGGATAGTTGAAATTCATTGTGATAGAGTACCTCACCTTTTCCCCACTTTTAGTTTTGAGAAATTAACTTTTCCTTCACAATTTTTTTTTCGACTTTCAAATAATTGTACTAACTATGAACTGAAGATTTCCTAGCCAAGGCCAAGACATTACATACCTCTTCTCGATGCCTGTTTTAACCATTATAACTTTGGTCTGGATAACGTTGGATAAGTCTTAATTTTCAGCATGTCACGTTGATAGAGGACCCATTGAACGTAAGAAGTTTCAACTATACAGTTATTACACGTTGAAATTTATTTATATCTAAAAACACAATTCTTGTCAATCATTCACTGATGAATATAATAATACTTAGAGTTTATTTCTTTCTGAAGTAATAGATAGCTTGAATAGAAAATCAAGAAATCTGTACCTTTTTCCTCGCCCCTTAAAATGGTGGGTGTCAAAGTTTTTATGAAACTTTCAATTCTCGAGCTAAACACATGGAATTGGTTACCCCCGATCGTTTAGTTACGCCATTACTTTACAAACCCATTCTTATGAACTGCATGAATTGCTGGCGTGAAATCAACAGATCGAGAGTGATATTTTAACCATAAGCCCATGGGAGTATCTAAGTGATTCTTACGAAATGGTCAAGCACTATGAGGTGAGATTTTTGAAGTTGAGGAGCTGAGCTTACTATGAGATCTAATGACACCCACGTTTTGTATCAAACTCCTATAGATTTAGAGTTGGTGATATATCTTTCTTATATTTGATTTGTATTGATGCCATACTTTCAATTTCGCGACATGATTCGAGTTACTCCGATTTCCATACCTAGAAAAATCCATAACGAAATATTTTTTCAGATCCTTATGTCAAGATAGCTCTGATGCAGAATGGTAAACGGCTCAAGAAAAAGAAGACTAGTATCAAAAAGTGCACTCTGAATCCGTATTATAATGAATCCTTCACTTATGAAGTACCTTTTGAACAAATTCAGGTAAGTATTTGGAAGTAATTAATTCATTGAAAGTCTATGCTTTTGAAAAGCGGTAATTCAAGGCGAGCTAGCGACTGAAGCATTCGTGTAACTCAAAGCCATTATTGAATGGGTGGTCATCAGTTTTCTATGATTTTTTTAAGTTTCCTTGACATTGGCAAATATCACTCAGACAGAACTGCTGATTTTCCACTTCTCAAAATGTGAACGCAACGAAAGTTATTATTCTCTACAGGTAAATTCTCAATTCATGAGTATTGATTCAAAATAAGTTTTGAGGAGCAAAATAGTGAATGTGCAAAAAAAATTTCTGGGGGTCATAGGTGAACGTAAAATTTGTCTTCATCGTCAATATCCACCAACAAGTTTTATTCATATGATAATAAACCGATTCATTTGATTGGAATATCATACAAAAATGGATATTTCACATAACTTGTAGGAAACCTGTGAATACCTCAGTGACTTCAGAAGAATGACAAATCATCTAGGAAAGAATATTGATGAATGTCTCCCAAATACGATAAAACTGCATCCCGTTGAACATAGTTATAGGCATGACGGGAGGCCTTTCATAATATCATTGACTATACTTTTATCTTCACTGAATATCCATATTTCCTTTGAAAGTTGGGAGAGTCTGATGGGACCCAACATAACCTAACCTAACACAGTTCATTGAAATACACAGTTCATTACACTTTCATTCGGTAAATTGGTTTTCGCTGAGTTATTTACTTTTCTGTGGTTTCGTTTTCGCTATATGCACCGGAGACCTTGACATAAACTTCCAAACCAAATGTGGAAATATGGATATTTGGTAGAAACAAAAAGTATTCAATGATATTGACTATACATCTGTCATGACCATAACGTAGAACTGTTCAAAAAATAACGTACAACCATCTAGAACATATGTTCATATATCCAGCTGCTTAGCATATTTGTGAGAGGCATGAAAGTTAGAAGTATTTTGCGTGTTCGGCAATTTTCTGCTATCAAAAAAATTGGATAAGAAATTTTGCATCAAATTCTGTATGAAAGATGGAACTGAGTGATTAAAAATACTTGAAATGTGGACAGTGGCATACGGTGATTGTAGTCTGAGTCAGAAAAATGTTCACAAGTGGTACTAGCTTTTCACAGGAGGTAAAGAAAATGTAAATGACGACGCTCGACCTGGAAGCCCCAGCAAATCAACAACCGATGAAAATGAAAAAAATTGTTATGGAGGATTGTTATTATTGAATAGTTGCAGAAGATATTGGCATATCGGTCGGCTCATGTCATTTTTTCGGAAATTTTGGGCATGAAGCGTGTAGTAGCAAATTTCTTTCCAAAATTGCTGAATTTTGATACAAAAAACCGTCGCATAAGCATCGCTCATAAATTGTTGAATGGCGTCAACACGATTTGCTCAAGAGGATAATAACTGATGACGAATCATGGGTATATGGTAATGATATCGAAACCAAAGTCCAATCGTCCCAATGGAAGATCCCAGCAGAGCCAAGACCAAAAAAGCACGCTCAGTTCGATCATATGTCAAGGCTTTGCTCACTGTTTTCTTTGATTGCCGTGGAGTAGTGCATCAGTAGGTCTCACCATATGGTCGTACTGTCGATAAGGGGTATTATTATCTCGAAGTTATGCGCTGCTTGCGAGAAGCAATGTCCGGCATTGTGGAAAAATACTTCATGGCTTTCACATTACGATAATGCATCTACTTACTCGTCTTTGGTTGTTCGTTAGTTTTTGGCTAATAATGCCCCAGCCACTGTATTCACCAGATTTGGCCCCTTGTGGCTTTTTTTGTTCCCAAAATTGAGAAGACCCACGGAAGGGCGGTGATTTGCAATGATTGAGGAGTCCGAATTGCCGAGAGAGCTCAAAGACATACAAAAACGTGCATATTGGAGTATAGGTAATATTATTCTGTATCGTGACTAGATACCCGACAGATGATAATGCAATCATGATATCCCCAGTAAATAATTTTTTTGCTCAAACCTGTGGATTCAAATGTTAATTATTGTAATTGTGAAATTTTTGTGAACATACTTTTCATTTTCTATTGCCCTGTATCAAATCCCATTCAATTCTCATCTATACTCAATCTCACAAACAATGAAGAGCTGCTATGATTTCTTCATTTCTATTGTTTCATATTTCTAAGAAGCAATTCTGAATAAACACCATTATTTCCAGAAAGTGAACTTAGTCATAACAGTAGTGGATTACGACAGAATTGGAACATCAGAACCCATCGGGAGAGTCGTTTTAGGGTGTAATGCTAGTGGTACGGAATTGCGTCATTGGTCAGACATGTTGGCTTCACCCCGTAGGCCGATCGCACAATGGCACACGTTGAAAGACCCCGAGGAAGAAAAGAAAGACTAAAAAGGAAATTCGACAACAACGCTGATACACCATAATGAATAAGGTAAGGTAAGGTTGGTAGCAGTTGAGAAAACAAAGTTTCAATGGAAGCTTAAGTACTAATTACTGAATATATATTCAGGACTTTTGAACAATCAAACAAAATAAGTCGTGGAATAATAAAACTTTTCAGTTTGTACTGTTATTTCTATTTTTATATAGGTTTGGTAGACGAACAATTATTCGTTATCTAAATCAGACTAAATAAGTAAGAATCAGTGTCCCCAGTTTTCACTATTAAGTCAAGATGGTATGTATCAATGAATAATCAATGTGGATATACTCGCACATTGTGTGTCAAATTCAGCTTCCGTAAGAGGTGATCAAAAAATAATTCGTAGAAGAGATTTAGCTCTCAACGAACTGGGCAATTTTGTACAGTTGTACAATTTGTTTTGAAAATTATTTATAATGAATTGATGGATGTAGCCGTTACTACGTGGTAGGAAATCATCATGAAAAATGAGAAATTACACTTGCTATGTTTTTTATCCCTTTTATTTATAACTAACGTTACTTCAGTTTCGTTCTATGTGGGCATATTCAAATTTACATTAAACTAAAAATGATTGATTACATTAGGCTTTATGTATCACCACTGTAGGTAATAACAGAGGTACTTACCTTGATTGAGTACCCTAATTTTCTTTACCTGGGACAATGGGGGTAGGCTTATTTGAGAACCGATGAGTTAACTAAATCGATTTGATCAATTAACAGGTTGCATCCGTAATGTTTATGCTTATGAATTTCCAAGGATCACTCATAATTGAGTTTGCAATCCATATTGGCATAGTGCAAAATTTCCATAGGTATCGTTTAGATCCGGAAACTTATGGTTTGATCTCAATGAATGCTTTGAAAACGTCGAATCATTTTTAACTGGTCTGAAGGACCTTTCATGTTCAGCATACCGTTTTTGGAAATTTCGACCACATTGTCCCACATAATAGTATATTATGCAACGATCATGTAATGATAGTTATTAAGACACGAGCATTAACCGGGATACGAAACGAGCCGAAGGCGAGTTTTGTATGGTATATGCGAGTGTATTAATAACCATTACATGAGAGTTGCATACGCTATTTTTTCTAAACCCGATAAATAATGAAAAACTATAAATATTATATTTGTATTGAACACATTTACAGTAATTAACTCATATTTTTTTAGAAAAAACACAAACTTAATGGTATTATCATGGATATATGAAAATTAGAAAGATTCTAATTATATTTATATTGAATATAACAACTGTAATCAATTGGATCTTTTAAAGATATTGGAGTCGATGGTATTCCTTCTATATCGCTGTTTTCAGACATTTTGATAATATAGGTAGGTAATATGAAAACTGATTTTGACAAATAAAGCAATTAGGTTAGAATCTAGGACAAACAAAGGAACAGGGTTCTTGGTTGATAATCTGTATCGTTATGAAAAATCTGTATCATAATGGATATCATTATGAAACGGATTATGGTCATATAAGTGTATTGTTAGAGTACGGGTGTAGAAAAACACTGTTATTATTATTAGATAACCTGGCATGTGGTCTGAATGCCACTTCCACATTGTTTTTTCCGAAGAAACCCGCAATTATCTTTGTTCTTTTACCAAAATATGTTAGAGTTGATTTCTGATTGTTTGATCTGGGGGTATATTAATCTGTAAGTGAATTTACGGCTTTGTTCTCTGACTAACTTCTGGATTGTATCTGCGTTGAAACCATTATTATGGCCTATATGTGTAATTATTTTAATTTCCCTAGCTAGATTGTTAGCAGACAAAGGTATATAATGAGAATGATCTGTGCAACAGTGAATTGTAGGCTGTCTACCATTTCCAATCAGAACACAATAATCTGTTTTCTTAGATATTTTGCAAATGAAGATTTTTTCTTCAACTGATAACTTGACCAAAAAGTTTTTTCAGTATTGGGTGAAGTTACCGAATAAAAAATCGTAAAAGGATTTTAGCTATGAAAACACTGGGCATTTTTGGAATACTCTTCGGTATACAATTATTTTTGTTCGAAATATTACTTATATTGCTTTTAAATTTTCAGATTCTGTCAGAAAAATACTTTTGAGTAATGTAAAATTTTATGATTGTATACCGAGTGGTCCATAGTATTTTCAATCAGAACTCAAGGAACTGTTCTTTCATGTGAGCATGTAAGTGTATCAAAAATGAAGATTTTGACGATTTTGAAAACGACCAGAAACTTTTTCGATACTAGGTGAAGTTATCAAAGAAGTATCGTAAAAGAGTTGTAGCTATCAAAGCACTGACTATTTTGGAATATAAAGCGTAAATAAAATATAAGATGAATACAGGAGTTTTAGATTGTAATGCACTGAGCATTTATGAAATATTGTTCAATGCACAATTCCTTATATTGCTTTCCATCATTGGATTCTGTCAGAAAGATTCTTTCAAGTAATATGCGAATCTGTTTAAAAAAACTCTGTGAATCTGTTTTTTCGTTAAACAGCTGTTGCACCCCTACAAACGAAAACCCTCAGAAGTCGAAACTTGTGCGAGCTAAGAATTAACGAGATCTTGTCATGTGTACAAAAATTGTGGAATAAGATTTTCATAGATTGTTTATAATTACTGTTTTATGAAGTACTGTGAATTGCTGGAGAAAATATCAGCCGCGGAATTTAGGTCTCTATTTGAATACCTCAAATTAGACGTGCAAGATATGTTGTTGTTTTTTCCCGTTAACCAGCTATCGCTGGTTAACGACAACCCTCAGAAGTCGAAACTTGTGCGAGCTAAGGACTAACGAAGTCTTACCTTTCAACGTGTGATTCCTAACACGGGTTGGACGATAGCAAGTGAAAATCGATCGTTCATCCTGGAGCTTGAACCACCGACCAACACGGCGGTCGATTTGAGTGAGTGAACAAAGCACCCACGTCGAACCGACCGGTAACCGAGCGAATATATGAATATATACCGAGTGGTCAAGAATTCATTCTGGAAATAAAATGAAAAATCTAATCTTTTCAACCATCCCCATTTTCGATGAACATTCAGAGATCTGTTTTGTTATGTAGTTTTGAGATTTTACATCAACTGATAACTCGACCAAAAACATTTCTTAATACTGGGAAATCATAATCCAAAACAATTTTTTTCCGATTTTTTTCAAATAGAACACCCTATAGAACAACTTGTAGTTCGGGTCGGTTGCAGCATGGAAACACACAAAACAAAGTCTGAATAAAATTCCATGGACTGAGGATTCATTGATTGAAAACATTATCTTCCTAATTTTTTCCTACATTATCATTGTAGCGGCCATTATGTTCAAAAATAGACAGTGTTTTATAATGATTGCGAGTAAATTTCTTCTGAAAGATTCTCTTGTAGAAAAAAATGCCAACAACTCAGTCGCCATAAATTTTGGCCTATGAATTGAGTGTATGAGGATTATGACAAACAAATGGTGAACAACCAGTTTCGGTTATTGTTATGCCTTCACTCATAACCTCTCAAAATGATAAACGTCTATCGAAGTCATCTTCATTCAATTAGTGCTCAAAATGAATTTTATTAGGCTGGAATTCATGGGATTTCAAATCATCTGATTTCAGAATTTTTGGAATTCACGTAATCCACTTGCCAGAAACTGTAGATACCCAGCAGTGGATCGATACTGATGTGGCCCAACAAACAATTTCCTCAGTTTCCATTTCGATTTGCCACCGATTCAGTTTCTCCAAATTTGGTAACGAGTCCAATTAAGTATTTTTATTTGAAATGGTTATCCGCATTCTGGTCAGTAAACAAATGTGCTGTAGTATTAGTGCACATATTAATTTTACAAGTATACAATTCCGGAGTGGAAAATAATAAATTGCAGATAAACCAAAATTCCTTAATTGAAATTGGGCTAGCTTCACACTGAACAAATAGTATTGATAGATTGACAAATTAGTATTGGAAGATTTTTTCAGTTTCTTTCTGGAAAACTACTACAATGAAACCATAATTCAGTTGCATTTTTAAGAACATGTGAAAAACAATGGAACAGATAAAACGCTACAAAATACATTTCAGAAAACAGTATCTCATACTTGCTGTATATGATCCGTTATTCAATGAAAATATTTCCTCATTGTGTGATGCGTATATTGTACTCATGCTTTCTGTTTCAGATTAACTCACCTTATTATGTACCCCAGCATGAAATCTACCCTTGGCGTCGTTTGGAAAATGACTTCGTTGGTGTTCATTCATGTATCAATTTGTCTATTGCTATTGACACTTGTTGTTGTTTATGAAATTCTTTCGAAAGTATGAAAAAAAACATTATCAAGGCTTTATCTAAGTTCAATTCACATATAATTCATTACTTTATTTTTTCTAGTTTTTCTACTGAAATGTAAAGTGATTCATATACATTACTTGAGGATTCACTGCAATATCAAAGCATGACACAATATCTAGAGTGTCAAGTATTGAAACACTTCACATTCTTAGACTACTAGAACTAGAAAGTTTCATATTTTCGAAAATCTATCACCTAATCTGATTATGACTAGATAATTTGAATTGCCTTCATTAGGACTAGATCAACAGGGATATGTACATTGTTCCTTCAATAACTACATACATATTTGTTTAGAAGGCATTAGATTGAGGAAGATTGATGAAGATATTTTTTAACTAAAAATATGCGTAAAATGATTTTCCAAACTCGGCCAAGTTTACTGTGAGGAAAAACTATCAGTTTCAATCTTTTTCATTCTCGTTTTGATCTACTTATCTACAAAAAAAGTAAAAGTGAACTAGATGACTCTACACAAACCATTCTCGTAGAAGAATTCTCAATTTTAACTTCAATAAAAAATTTAGATCATTTGCATCCTTGGGATAGCTTGTATATTACATACAGAGGCAATTACAACCCTAACTATGGCATATTCCTAGGGAGTAGATCAATGATTCTGAAACTATTCAATATACTTGAAATGTTTCAAAAAACATTGAGTAGATTCCAACAAAATTTTTGGTAGGTAGATCAAAATGGATATAGATTGCTAGGGAATATTCTGACAATAGGATTATAGCTCTTAGAAAAAAGTGGTTGAATAATTTTAGTTTTTGTTTCTAGAAATGATCAAAAGAAACACAAATCGAGCCCAGTGCTTTTTGTAAGATAGAAATAAGCACTATTATCATTGCATATTGGACATCACAATAAATTTAAATGTATAGCTTCAGATTTATAGAAACTGTTTATAAATGAACCTAGCCTTTAGTTGATTAGCAAAAATTTAGAAAAAGTATCGAAATTTTATATTTGAATAGAGATAAAAAAGAAGGTAGAAGGTAGAGAGAAAATTTATGAACATCATATCGATTTACTATCTTCTTTCCGTCTCGAATGTTTCTTGATACTGGCGGTCCGAATCAATTTTGTATTACATTAATTATTGATTGATGCAGTCGCAGTATTGGGCTAATATATAGATTCTCTCTTCCTTTCAGTTTTTTATAATTTTTCTCTGATTTATCTCAAAGCGATATCCGATTAGTTCTATTGAATATTCGAGGGATTATCGCATATTTCTTTGCCATCCTTAAACGTATACTTTTCTGATGAAAAACATTTGTTACGTGTTTTTGACAATACTTCATGAATTTGCTTACATAATTTATATAGGATGCTCCACTATCTCACCTGTACCATGTTATTATCTCGGCATCCTTGTAAATTGAATAAAACTTCATCTTTACAGTAAATGTTGTGAATTGTCTGAACATTTCATAATTTCCATATTTGTGTATTATATTTACTGTGATTGACTGATAATGGAGATTCCAACACCCTTTTCAATTTTTTGTTCCGTCTTCTATTTTAATTGATGAGTTTGATTCTTTAGGTTATATCCCCTATTGACTTGATTCTATATTATTGTATATATGTATTTCATTAGTCTACTTCATGGCTAGTTACTCAGTTGAAACTGATATTATCCCCATTTTTCACCTGTTTCGAAAGAAAAACAACTCAGCCAAATTCTGCGGAAAGATCTCATTGAATTTTTTGTCCTTATGCACATTGTTCAAGCTTTCCACGCTTTCAGAGTGACTGCATTAGTTTTTCTGTCGAAACGGTCTATTGTAAATATCTATAAATAAAATGTTGAAATGTTGTGTATGATACTAAAAATATCTATATTTGCAAAGTGGTCTAGGATTCGGTATGGAATTTGAAACAAAATTCTGAATTCCTTGATAACTGTAAAAGATGAAACCAAAATTGCGCAGTACACTCTTGAGAAAATTATAAACACTTATTCTAGAACTTCTGTAAAGGAGATCGTTTCGCAAAGTAGTGACAAAACTTCAACATTGTTGAAAGAAACAAACCACATCGAATTTCTGACGAATATACTTTTCTTCAGCATAAAAATAAGAATAATGAAATTTTGAAATTCCATGTCAGTCCTGGTCTATTGTGTATAGACAGTGTTATGGTCCCCATATACTTATGAATGTACCCCAAGCAGCACATATGGGCCCAAGTTTATCTTCAGTTGTACATTATTCAAGTAAGATATCATTGTATAGTTGTACAATCAGTCGCTTGAAGATTATCCATAGTACATACAGATCTAATGTAAAAGATTCATTTAAACAGATTATATATTTGGTGTGATTGTTGACTATGGTTCACGGGAAAACAATATTTGGGGAATATTCCACTGAGATATCTGTCTTAATGAAGGTGTCGTCTCCGAAGATATAATTTGCTCCATGTAGTGAAGTACGAATTCTCAAAATTCTTGAAATGATGCATTTTTGATAGATTTATATCACTGATATCTTCAAAGATGAGGAAAGTAGAATACATTTGATATATTGTAAGGTATGATCTGCTCTATGTGGTGGAGTACGAATTCCTCTGTTTTAAATGATGTGATATCAAGTTTGAATTTGATTCGATATCAAAAAGTATGTCACAAGTCGCCTTGTTTTATGACAAGCTGTTTGAGGTGGAATTGCAATGTGCTAAGCTACTCGGTTACTCGCAGGCAAACAAAATTTGACACCCAGAGAATAGATGAGAGAATCGCGATTTGAAATGAAAAAAAGTGTGGGAATTCACATTGTGCCGCTCACATACAAACAGGGTATTGCAATGCGGCATATCAAAGTTATGTTTTTTCAAAAAAACGTTCTCTATTACTCTACATGAACAGATTCCTGTTCAGAAATATTGGTTTGTGTATGTGAATACATCAAGCAGTTCGGAATTTATATAAAAAATAACATTTTCCACAAGAACAAGGTTAAAGAACTAGATTTCCATGACATTATCTCAAAAATGTTTTTTTTTCTCAACATGGAGAAAAATTTGGTTAATCCAACGTCAATCATGAAAAAATCATATTTTCAAAATATCTATATGATATCGAAATGCATAAATTTTTTGTATTAATTTCGAATTGTTCAACATATGCTTCAAATCTTTTTTCTGTATGGAAAACAATATATGACGTTTCTTTAAAAAAAACCATAAACCCTGCATTTTGTGGCATAATTCCAAAAACTGATATCTTAAACTTTTTTATGAAATATTTTTTGAAATCGGTAATCCTTCTCTCCCAGGTTCTAATGGAAGATCGGTATGACACCCCTTGAACAAAACAAATCAATGAACATGATGGAAGTAGAGAAAATCACAAATACCGATATTTTCGAGAAAATATATTGAGAAAGTTATTAGGAAAAAAAACTACCTGTAAGGGTAGTATTACTTGATAAAAATAAATGTTTGCTATGGGAAATCTTCTACTCGACTGGTATTCATGATTCGATAGAAAGATTCATGGTTATGAGATTAATGTGTGATATTTAGGAATATAAAAGTTGGTGAGATATTGGGCATAGTGTCGAAAGTAATGAGTTGAATGAATAATCGATATTCCAGAATTTACTTGAGAGAACTAATTCCATTACTTTGTTATCAACAGTTTCCTATTTTGAGAAAATAGTTGATCTAGACTTAGACCATTTACCTTCATTGCTAAAAAATGATTTAATTTTTGTGATTCTGTTGTTGAAGAATTATTTTATTCACCCTATAAAAAGTCATGCAATACCAAAACTTCATTTTAACATCTCAACACGTGTTTTGATCACCAAGTGTTCATCTTCAAGGGGAAGATTACACTTCCTTTTGGAGGAAGATTAAACTTCCTCTTGAAGATGATCACATGGTGATCGAATCACGTGTCGAGGTGTCAAAATACCGGTTTGGAGTTGGGATAAAACTTCAGTAATATTCATCACGAATAAAAAAAAAGAGTTTATGTCTTTTCATTATTGTTCTATTGATAATTTTCAGGAAGTCATTTTGACTTTAGAGACTATGCTCAAAGTATTTAGCTATGCACTAGCTTCATAGGAATGGCAATATTTGAAGGATTGATATTTGTAAAAAGATAAAGATAGAACATGTGAGTGTAGATTTAGATTTTAGTTGAAAAAAGACTTCTATAATGGATTATTGGCTTTTCTTATTACTAGCTAGCGTATACTTTATTACTACCGAGTTGATTTTTGAATGTTATAATAAAGAACAATAAATGAATCATCCATTCTTATTATAAATATTGTGAATGAATAAAATGTGAACTAAATGAAATGCTCTTGTTACGTAGATGAAATAAATCATATCAGTCGTCCTGTTGGGAAAATAGTTTTTATAACAAGTGAACAATTTCGTTCTTACAAAAAATGTCAGTGGCATGGTGATGGAGTATAACAAAGTTCTTCAGATAAAGTTTTTTCTACTTGTTTTGTGTAAAGTTTGACTGAATATTCAGGGCCATAAAAACGTGACTTTTCAGGGTGAGAATTTCATTAAATTATGAGATATTTGATGAAGTTGGCCGATGTTTAGTGGAATTTTATTCCAGTGAATGCCTACCGGAAAACAACTACTTCTCCGGCTAATACCACTCTGGATATTGAATTATATTATATATTATATTCATGCAAGATATCTCGGCAAGGTTATTATCACAGATATTTTTCATCCATCCAGCAGCAGAACTATGCTGAAATCATTAGAGTAGTTCTCCTTCAGACCGGTTTCGAGGTGCAGGAAAGATCCAACCGAAACAGCAAAATGCTTGGGAATCGAATAATTTCAACGCAGCTGCAACTGCTTGTATGCAACCTTCGTCTGAGAGGAAAATTGTTAATTAATAACAGCTCCATTTCGTGAACAAAGCCTCAAGTGGGGAAGAAACATACCATGTACCCACATTCTAACAGGGATCAAACCTTGTCTGGAGACTGTATGAAGGAGATATACATATGTACTAGAAAATGAATATTTCGAAATGAAATCTCGAAATATAATTATATTTCATTTCTCTTCGAACAACATTAATATAGATTGATCTTCTCCACATTACAGAACATTACATTACAGAATTCAAGTAAAGTAGCTGTCATTGTTCGATAGGTGTCGACAAGTTGGTGACAGAAGTTATAAATTATAATTGTATTTTGAATATTCCAATAGAGAGCGGTGTTCTGAAATGATTGATATAGGTATGACACTTTTGGCTGATTCAATAAACTTCCAAAAATAGAAACAACTATGAAATATGAATAGTGAGACCATATCACAACTAACCGCAGAACAGTGTTGTTCCTGTTCCCGGTAAACTGTAACTTCTGAATGAGTCGCACACAAAGCGCATCATTTTGCGTTGAGAAGTTGGCAACACAGGCTAATATGTCTTCAAAAGTGATAGTTGACAATGAGGAAACCTGATTCGACATATCATAACTGACACAGGTGTGAAAATGCTCTTGAGCCCTTCTGATACGTTGACTATCAATGCTGATGTGTCTACTATCAGTTTTGATAGGCCATCTGTTAGTTCTGTTGCGCGAACTGTCAGTTGAATGTTTCTTAAAATTCAATATAATGGGTAAAAACATGCACTACTTGACAATTTCAAATGTTAAAGAGTACCGTGTTTTTACGTGCAATTCATAATAAAACAACTTCAGGCAATTTTAATATGTACACAATATCTATGAGTAGGTACATTCTGTAGGGAAATCACTAACAATGTAAATTGCAATATTTTATAGTACAAAACAATTCAAAATAGAGGCTGAAGGTAGAGTAAGGACCCATTATCTGCTAAAATGTTTTCGACACCTTCCTTTGTGAGGTCAAAATGCCTGCAAGCGATACTCAAAAAGGATGAATATTTTTTCAATAAAAATGGTATTATAAGGATTTCAATTTGAAGTTGATAAAAACCAACAATATGCAGAAGAGACACTTGAATTGTCTTTCCGTATAGGCGATTATTTTCCCTCCAACAGCAACTGAATTTGATCCAGCGTTTTTCCTCTGGTCTCTGGCACATAAAATAACACTAACAGTGATGTGGTGAAAGAGCAAGAAGCAAAGAGATAGAATGGAACATGCATCCCAAAATTCTCTCTCAGTAGGTTGAATAAATAAATACTGATCATAGCTGTTGCTACATAAATCCCATCTGCTATTGCCATGCCAAGTGCCTTCATTTTGGAGGCGAATATTTCAGCTGTGATCACTATCGGTACCATTCCTAAGCCTACTTTGAAAACAGCTGCGTAAGTCATCACAGAAACTATGGGAATCCAGCTTAAGCTCTTGTACTCCCACCCGGCATTTTTTATATTAAAATAAACAGCCAGTGATAACAGACAAAACCCCGTGAGGATACTAGATGACATTATTAGTTTCTTCCGTCCAAACCTGTCTATAGTTACTGACGCAAAAGCTGCTGCTATAAACATCAACCCTGCAAACATTATGGCAGCGATGGGAGGCGCTACGTAAATAGATCCAGCCTCTTCTAGGACCTGGTGCATATTCATCAAAATTACGTTAATACTGCTGAGTTGCTGTGCAGCATTCAGCATGGCCATTATGAGCATTGCTTTTCTATAACTCCTGACTAGAAGTATGTCTTGGGGCCTAGCTCTCTCTGCCTTCTGTCTCTCCACTGCTAAAGATATTTCAGCCAACTCTTTTTCCACAGACCCAGCAGATCTGAATTTCTGTAGGGACATTTTAGCTTTTTCATTACTGTTATTCAACAGGAGGTAATATGGTGTTTCTGGAAGCCACGAGAAAACAATCAGTTCTATAGAGAGTAATATTACTCCTATGAGTGAGGGAACGTAAAAAGGTAAGTAGGGTCCTACGATGTATACTGTCAGCACCCCAGTGAGCATCATGAGATAGATGATGCTTGAGAGAAATCCTCTGATTTTTTGGTCGGCCATTTCTGCGATGTACATGGGAGCTGCTACGAAAGCCATATCGCCACCTATACCAGAAATCACCCTGGCTACATAAATGGTCTCTATGTTCTGAGCAAAAGCTATTATTATCCAAGCAACTAGAAGAGAGAAGGATGCAAGTAAAAGGGACTTCTTCCGACCTATTTTGTCGACAAAAAATATTGTCAAAGGTAAGCCTATTATCGCCCCCATAAGGAGCCAGGTCTCCAACCATTCCGCTTGGTTCTGGGTTATCTTGATGTGGCTTTTGTCACTCAGGAAGTATGGAATCATTGGCGAAGTCCATCCTACTGTCATTCCATCAGATATTGCCATTAGATTTGCTATAAGAAAAAAATAAACTAGTGCTTCTCGAAACAGTAAGGGTCGTTATATGGAAAATTTTAATTTCGATCGAAAGATCACAAGACACCTCTTTCAGTTGATAAAGATTATAATGATAATATCGCCTTCATTATCTTCAAATACATTTCAAACAAATTCCATTCAAATATTATATGAAAATAAAAGGCGAAGTTCAATTCGCATGATGACAGGTCATCATTCAATAGCTCTTTCACTTGACCTCTCTGCGGCGAGTTACACAATTGTGTTTTTTATCAAAAAAGTACTGAAAGTGATTCTGTTTGACAAAAATTTTGTCTGACTGATCTGACTGTCATTTCGATGACAATTACGAGATATCTTGAAGCCGTTTCAGAAAATTTATTTATGTAGTGGAATCACCCAGACGTTCCATAATACAGTTACTGTTTTATCTTTAGTAGTATACGAGGTTTGTTCAAAAACCAAGGTGAATTTTCATTTTCATCAAATTTGTATATATTCGTCAATTTCTATTTTATCCCCCTCAAAGAAGTTCACTTCAGTTGTAATATGCTTGTGCAAGCGTTTGTTCCAATGCTCGAAGTCTTGATATACACTTTTTGGTACGTCTTTGAGGTCTCTCAACGATTCGGTTTCAATCACCTTAATCGTCGCAAAACGCCGTCTTTTCATGGGTCTCTTTAGTCTTGGGAACATAAAAAAGTCGCAGGAAGCAAATCTGGTCAATACGGTGGCTGAGGCATGATTATGGTGTTGTCAGGAGACATTGTGAGCTCTACGAATATCAGTGCCTGTAAAAGAGGTGTTTTCAAATTAAAACTTCTGAATCATAACCAGATCAAAATCTACCCAAAATATCCTTTCACAAAAAAATTACTCAAAATTCGTTCTAAAATTTTGCATTCGAATTATACAATGTTTTTCCAGTTGAAATGAAATCTACAGGAAAAGTTATTAAATACAAGCAAGAAATACAAAAAATGAGGTCATCCTGAAAAATTCGATGTTCTGTTTCAATAAACTGTCTTTTCCTCCTTTCGTCTTCCTCGCTTTCTTTCTGTTTGTTAACTCTGAAACACTCGTTGTAATAAAGATTTATAGAATTATATTATAAAAAATCAGCTGAAATTAGGTCGTTGCACAGGCATTTCATGCCTATATGCCCTTGTCTCTTACTAGTATTCCTCGCTAATAATGATTAATAATAGTTGGCAAATGTACACTACACTGAATTGATTGAAAAATTTGCCGTGGCAAGAACTCCTGATGCACCACGCTACGGTTATCGAAAAAAACAGTGAGCAAAACCTTGACATTTGATCAAACTTGGCGTGCATTTTTTGGTCTTGGCTCTCCTGAACTCTTGTATACCCATTGATTCGTCACCAATTACGATCATTTTGAGAAAATCTGGATCGCCTTTGGTGCCATCCAACAATTCCTGAGCGATGCTCATGCGACGGTTTTTTTGATAAAATTCCAACAATTTTGAAACGAACTTTACTGCCACATGCAAACTAATATGCCGAAATCCTCAGCAATTTCTCTAATAGTGATTCGAGGAGTCTCCATAACAATTTTCTTCACTTTATCAACATTTTCATCAGTTGTTGATGGGTCCAGGGCGAGCTTGTACCACAACAATTTTCTGACTAAGAGTACAATCACTTTCTGCCACTGTCAACATTCCAAGTGTTCGAGCACTTGATTCTATTTTCACCTATAATTTGATGGAAATTTTGTTACCTTTTTTCGATAGGAAAAAATCGACGAACACAACAACTCGTAACTTTTATGCCTCTCACCAATGAATTGAACAACTGGAACTGTGAATATATGTTGGTGAACAAACACAAAGAAATTAAAAAATCGCTAATCGAATGTACCCAACCCGTGTAATTTGAACATTCACTTTGGTTTTTGAACAGATCCCGTATTTGACATCATATATACAAATAAAATGATGTCAGGTATGATTTATAAGATCCGTGTTGAATTTTCTGGACTGGAGCAGAATGTTCTCAAGCTTGCGAAATCTGATCCCTACTATATAATAGTCTCCGTTTTATCATTTGCAGGTCATCTTGAAGTGTTTTGGACATGATATCATAAATTCTGGGTGCTTTTTCATTTTTTAGATTATGACTAGTATAAGTTCCTATAGTATGATACAAAAATATAAAATTGGGGTTCGTTTTTCATGCTAACTGCGTAAGGGTGAGTTTGTCATACTATTGGCTACATTGGAACCAAAATTAGTAAAATAATTAGCCAATATTTTCGCTATTTCCCAATGAATGTTTGTCGATATTTTCTGATGATTGCTCAGTATCTGTATTTCATTTTATCTAACTTTCATGAATAATGGTTTTTTTTGATAATCCTGCACTACCTCATTCAGTTGATGTGAGAATTATGAATGTGTAATCATTATGAATGATTCTATTGTTGTCTCCATTATCTCAGTACATATTTGGTTATCAACAGTTATAAATAACATGATATTGAAATGAATAACCCTATAGAACATAGCGATCATAATTTTCAAATTAGATAGGCGAATCTGCTGATGTTTGTTAAGCATGCCACATTTTGCTTGCCCTTTCAATTTTCATAAATATTCAACGATGCAAGAACATTTTCAGTATCTCTGGATCCATCAGGATAGCAATAGTTATACAATTGCAAAGATTAGAGTTTGTCCTCACGTCAAGTTATAACAATTTTCAAAAATGAATTTGTTCTGAACTGTCACGAATGATTGAGATTTAAAACATTTTCGACATATAATATAAATCGTACGTTCTCTTCTAAAACCATACAAAATCATGATATTGTTCTATGGCAATTTCGGGATAACCTCGGGGACAGAATCGATCAATTTCCTGAAAAATAACGGGGAATTCTTGAAACAAAACGCTGTAATGTAATTTGGGATGTCAAGTTAATTGTGATAAAAATGGGATGTTCTTGGGATTTCATCTGAATATCAGCAAAACATATCCAGAAGAGAGACTAAAATCATCTGTCTGGGTTGGAATATATTGAATCACTTGATTTCCATAAACAATGTTTGGTTTGGAGTGAAGCAGGAGTGTCAAGCTGAGAAACAATGACTTTTTCAAGCGCCTCCAAATGCAAAGTTAAAAACAATGAGATGTGAATGACAATCGATAACTATACAGGGAATCATGTCCAGTTTCAAGAACCAAGAAAAAATGAGAGATTGAAAAACAGTTACTGAAACTGTTCATGTGGAACATGTGGAAGAACAAATGAAATTAGATTGAATGAAATGTTGAAATTATTGAATATGTATAAAATAATAGGACTGAACTATTCAAACGAATTAGTTTCGAACAGAAAAAATGTCAAAAAAATTACCAAAAAGTAATGGCAACAATTGTAAGAACATTAATTTGTTATTAAAACAATTGATTGTAACCTGAAATTGAGATGAACAAATAATGACATAAACAATGAGTGAAATGTCAAATATAACAAACGATCAAAAAGTAAAATGAAAATAGAGTAAAACAAAATGAGAGAAATCAGAATTAGAAAAATGAATTCATTTCACTATTTGTACTTACAAAATATTCAACATATAAATACTATTTCGATGTGAATATTTTTGGTATTTTCCATAATTTAAACGTTTTATCCAATTTTATTGAAAAGGCTACCATCTTTTCCAGTACTTTGATAATTGTCTTCCCGGTTGTACTGTCGCCCATCAGAACCAGAAATAAACGGCCATCGTCGACTTCATCGAATCGCGTACACGCAATTTCCTCGCTGACGATATTAATCGACTTTTTTTACGTTGTCAAGTGCATTGACTCGAATGGTTCTTATTTCGTTTGAATTACATGAGTATTCACTGAAATATTACAGTTTGACGAGGACTCATAAACGGAGAAAACTTTTGAAACAACTTGATAATATTTGTTTGAAGGTGATTGACAATGTTTCATGATGAATTTCATTAGTTCGGACTTTCATTGTCTAATATTATATAAAATGATTTGAAATCCCTGAATGAATCGAAACAAATGAAAAAAAAAATAGCTTAAAATAACAATCATATCAACAATTACAGTGAAATAAAATAAAAGTAAAGAATAGAACAATTAAACAAAAAATTAATAATAAAAAATTGAGGAATTCCAAGCCAAGTTACTTCGGGTGATGACTCACTTGTATTTCATTTCACTATAATTTCATTTAAGATTTTTTGCTCAATATAATAGTTATTTTCAGCTATTCTTTTTAATTTTTCATTTGAATTGGTTCTGTTAGAGATTTCAAATCATTTTATATAATATCAGACAATGGAAGTTCGAACTAATGAAATTCAACTTGATAATATCATTATTATTATACCATCTGATTTGGTTGAAGACTCACCTATCACTGCTGCGAAAATTTGAAAAAGTACTCCTGAATTACAAACATTTTTCCTAGTCACCTGCATTTTCATAATAAATAAGCGTCTGTTCTTTTTGTAGCTGTACAGTTCTTGATGTTATTAAATAATGAAGTTATTTATTGAAGAATAATGATATCTTGACGCTGTTTAATGTTCAGAATCCTCATTCATTCACAACTAACTCCCAGGCAATAAATAACTCAGTACTAGTGACTTTTGAATAAACTGCCTTAAGATTCTGACAGTCTGTTCAAAATGTGTTATGCAGTAAAAAATATCACTGGAGGAAATGCAAAATGGGTTTATTCAGTATTACAGTATGAACTGCTATATTAAGGTTCCTGATCTCAATTTCAAAAAAAAAATTGTATATTTCAAAAATTCCGAAAATTATATTCAAGGCCCTCTAGGATGTCGCAAGCACTCATTTGAGTTTTGATGTTAGCCTGTCTGTACATTTCTACCAATGTACGTGAAAGATAACGAATCAAATTTTATTGAAAACTCTTGCTGTACTTCCTTGCTGAAAGAAACGATGAACTTCGAATCATAGTGGACCGTTGCCTGCAGGTTTTCTTGTCTGAGGTTTCATCTACTACTGCGGTAGACATCATCAAAGGTGAAATGGTAACGTTCGCAGTATCCAAGTTGGTTAGATTGGGTAAGGTTAGTTCCAAAGTTAGTGGGTTTACCATAAGTTTATTTTAGCTCACACCTATTCACAGAGCTTCCTAACGGAGCCGATTACTTTGTATGGTGAGTGGTCTTTCAGGTCAGATGTTAAAAGTATGGCTCTACTGAACTCGAAAAACCTTATTCGGTCCCCAGCGGGGCAGACACAAAGTAAATGCTTTGCTGTTTCATCATTTTCCAATGAGAGGTGACACACATTGTCTTCCGACAGTCTGAGTATCTGCAGAAAATTCAGCAGCCCCATTGCCTTTCAGGCCAGTATGTCGAGGAATCCAGACCAAAGACAATCGTTGAGTCTTTCTATCGAGGAGAGTTGTTTTTGGCAATTTGCTTCCAATTTAGACTTTGCTCGGTAGGACCCAAGAGCTTTCAACGCCGTCACAGAGGTTCCTTAGCAGGTTGATATCTCTCTCCTGGGTATGCGACTGAAAACACCTGCACCAGAACCGGAAGGTGTTTTCGATCCATCCGTTTACCAACAACTATCTGCTCGTAATATTTCTTTCTCCTGGAGGATCCAGTCCTCTCTGCTACTGCGGTAGACATCATCAAAGGAGAAATGGTAACGTTCGCATTGTCCAAGTTGGTGCTCGAGTTGTTATTCCCGTTGTTCCAAATCCATTTACTAGGATTCTGGTATTTGTCTCTGGTTTTTTATTATTATTAGTGAGCGTGACTTGGTTTTTCCTGATTGAATTACCTGATATTATTTGTGTGCAAATACGACTCTTCAAGGCGAGGCCATTAGGTTCACGGTCACCAGAGGCTGCTCTCAAGGTGAGGTACTATCTCCCCTTCTGTGATCGCTCCTGAAAGATAGTCTGCTTGATGCTCTCGACAGAAAAAAAGTAGATCTGCAAGCTTATGCACATGACCTTGTCATCTTAGCAAGGTCCACGTCGGGAAGGGTAGCTTGTAATATCCTCCAAAGAACAATGGACGTTGTCAATAGTTAGTGCCTAACGGAGCAGATATCAACCCCAGCATAACTGTGATAATCCCTTTCACCAGAAGGAGCAAATTGGACGATCTAACGCCATTTTCTCTCACAGGTGAGGTTATTCCATTTGGAATGGAGGATACATATCTTGGCATTACCCTTGATAAAAAACTCACCTGGAACGCTCACTTGGAAAAAGTTTTACACAAAGCCGGACTGTGCCTATGGACATGTCGATGGATTTGTGGTTAACTTGAGTTTTAGGTCCGAAACAAATCCATTGGATTAATATGACGATTGTCATATCAATGATCACTCATGGTGCAATTGCCTGGTGGCCGAAAACTTTAAAGAAAACTACCCAGGCGAAGCTCTCTGGTTTACAGAGACAGGCTTGTCAGACCATCAGTGGTGCCATTAGAACCACACCGTCAGCGGCCATGAAGATCCTCTTCACATTTTTCTGGAAAGAGAGGCTAGATGGACTACATATAAACTTGTGCACATTGCCAATTGCACAAATCAATTCAATTCAGAGTGCAACAGACTGTTGGTTGACACTGGACATCACAGCATTCTGTAAATGACCTCTGACTTTATGCCTCCAACTGTCAACTACGAACTGCCTTATAAAGTACTGTTCCCGAGTAGAGAGGACTGGTAGCCATAAAACACGTTGTGTTCACTGACATTTCTATTACGGTGTCGTGACAACGATATGATCCCTAAATGACTTCGGACAAAAAGGAATTTCAAGACACCACCTGCCGATAAAAGCGACAAATGTGCCGAGAGAGCTTTATTGAGAGACAGAATCCATCAGAACAGAAAAGAATTAGCCCGCGTCCATGGTAATTCGATGCACTGGTGGGACAAAATTGCCGATAAAATCGGCAAATGTGCCGAGAGAGCTTCATTGTGAGAAAGTATCCATCAGAAAAGAAAAGGAGTGGCCAACGTTCACGTCGAACTGAGGCACCGCACTATCAAACTTGGTAATTCGATGCACTGGTGGAAAAGCCACAAGATCAGCCAATACCAGGAGATATATAAAGAAATACGAAAGTCTGAGTAAGAGCCAGAAAAATCCACACAGAAACGTCAAAGATTCTATTGCGCGTAAAACCATCCAAGGCCAACACAACACGACAGAAACGAGAAGCGCTGAAAAATCTCATTACAGATGATAATATCCTGGAATTGCCTGCTGACCCAGGAAAGAAGATTTTGAGAAGAACGAATCTCCTTATACATTCATCAAGTCTTGGAGAGAACACGAAAAAGGTTATACAATAAACCTTTGAATTGATAGAATGATTATCAGATCGCTTACTAATTAATCTGAACAAGTAATTAGGAGTTTGCCTTTTCGCCACGACTATTTGGCTCGGCAAAAATTCAAGATAATGTGCCACTTAGACCTATCGTGAATGCAATATGTTCACCAACTTATAAGCTGGCCAAATAATTGACAACCATAATGTTTGCTGCGTTATGATGCCATACCACGTCCGTGGTATGAAAAGCCGCTGGAGAGACACTAAACGGACTCTAGCCTTCTTGGAAGTTCTTGTGAGCAGATGTGAATATGGTAAATTGGGCCACAAAGGGTACAGGAAACCAACACACACAGGCAGGTATCTGAACAAAAAGTCTAACCAGCAGTCACAATTAAAGAAAGGGATGATTAAAAGTTTGGTTGAGAGAACACGATGTATCTGTGAACCTGAGAGTTTTCCTGAGGAATTTGAACACCTAAAAATGCCTTCAAAGGGCACAGTAGAGGAGATTTCGAGCGGGTCATACGACTCATAATAGTGACCGCCAAAGTAACCCCAGCTAGGCTGGTCAAGGGATAAGCTTTCCTTCCCTATGTTAAAAATGGTACAGACCGGATGGGGGAAACTTAAAGAAACAAGATATGAAACCAATATTTAGGCCAACAAAAACTATCAGACAAATATCTAAGGTCAACTGAGAACCTCAGGGAACCTTTAGCAACACCCAGGGTATACCGGATTACTTAGAGCTGCGGGTCGGTCTACATTGGAACCACAAAAAAAGTGCAGGTACCGACTCATCAGAAGTATAGGTGCCCGTCTCTCTGAATGCTCCCAACAAAGAAGGCACTCACATTATTTCGTTCGAAGATACGGTAATACTTGATGGAACTCAAAATTACTATCTAGAGTATAGTGATCCCGAGTAGAGAGGACTGGATCCTCCGGGATCCTCCGGCGTTGGAAGTTCTTGGCTCCTACCGAGCAACGTCTAAATTAGTAGTAAATTTCCAAAAACGACTCTCCTCGATGGGAAGACTTAACAGATTTTCTCTGGTCTGGATTTCAGCTACACTAGTCTGGAAGGCAATGAAGATGCTGAATCTCTTGCAAAGAAGGGTGCTGCAAGCAGCTTCTTCGTGGCATCGCTTTAGGCTTTTCCAAACAAAGATTGAACACCTGAATGGCAAGAAGATTTATGGACTCCTGGCAGAATCTTCCAAGGCGTTTATTCACTCTTCGAATCTTGATACCAAACAGTTGTTGGACTACAGTAGGGATGCACCACGATGTCTAACAGGCCTTCTTACAGGTCAATCTCATTTGAATCATCATATGTAGAGACTCGGACTGTCGGAAGATCGTGTGTGTCGCCTCTGTTTGGAAAATGATGGAACAGCAGAGCACATACTTTGTGTCTGCCCCGCTGGGGATTGAATCAAGGTTTTTAGAGTTCGGCACAGCCGTACTCTTACCATCCGGCCTGAAAAACCACTCACCATACGAACTAATCGGCTTCATCAAGAAGGTGGGTTTAGGTGGTCGAGTGTGAATAGGTTTGAACCACAATAAACTTTCGCGGGTTGCGGTGGAGGGTCGAATAGACCCACTCACTTTGGACCCAACCAAACCTAACCTATATGGAGAGACAATAGAACACGGGGATAATTTCAATAGGAAAAAAGAGGCAATGAAAATTAATAAATTCTGGCTACCTACCTTTCGACTTTCAGAGTTGGAATTTGCAAAATACAAAGAGATGAAATAGGTATGTGGCTTTTCTGCGTTCCGTAGATTAGACTGATGTTTCGTTCTGGGTATCAGCCGAGATCTTTCAATAGAATAACCCGTGTCGATTATAAATTATATTATTATGTACTTGAGGAGTCTACGCGGGAATCAAAACTCACTGAATTTCGAATCGCACATACTTCTCACTAGTTTACGGCTCCGTCGCTTTTCTGGTACTCAGGAAACGCGCCATAGATAAACTGGAATCCTATTCCAAACAAACTCCCTCACCCGACGATACATTACGGAAAATTGCGTCTATGGCTTTTCCGAGCGAGACGTCTTTTCCGTATTGTATTTCTGGAAGTGCGTCATAATTCCTCTAAACGACGTCTCTGTCTCAAACTGATGCTGGAAAAACAATCTCTGAAGAATGAACGATCGCTGCTGTTGACATCTAGCATCGGAATAAATATATA